GATATGCGTGCTCTCTACAACCCTAATGACAGTCATCTCATTGTAGGTTGTTAAAAAACATCTCTTTAAGAAGAGTGGACAAGACACCTTGCAGATACTAAAATGCTTTTGCCATCTGGTCCTAAGCTAATTCCATCATGTCTTTCTTCAGATCTTTAAGTGCAATAGAGGTCCGTTTCCTGCCAAGGAAACACTGTACGTTCAGGCAACCTGTATTGGAAAGCATTGAGGTGAGTGCTCACAATGGAATGACAGCTATCACAAGATGAAGAAGGTCATATAACCCTGAACATAACATTTTAAATGCCAATATACAACCTCTGTTACAACTTACTTTTACAGGTCTACAGGGTTCAGTTTGTCTTAGATTATGATCTCCTAAATTTACCTGTGACACTACAAAATGGTTCTTTCTTGTACTCTGGAAACAAGATTTGATAAGCTGGTTTAGATGTTATTTGAATATGTAGGTTACCTAACTCTTTAGGTACTTGCACTATCTGTTTTTACAGATCACAAACCATGAACTGAGAACAACTCTTGCTGTGTGGCACTTCCAAAGTAAATCTTTCTCCTCTTAATGATAATTATGGATTTAAAGTTATACATAAGGACTTTAGGAAGTAGGTTGTTTGTTGTGGGCTCTTTTTAAATACAAACGAGGACAAGAATTCAAGGTCAAGTCTTGCTCAGAACTGCCCTCCTAACAGACCTCAACACAACACAAGTCTTCTCAAGCTTATGCTAGAAGAGCTATAAAAAGCAGATCTCTAACCTACTGTAAATGCATGCCAAAGAGAGAAAAATAACAAAATTAATTCCAGATCACATTCAGTATCTTAAAATGCCTTGTGTAAATCACTACAAGATCATACACAGTTCTAATCCCCACTATGAAGCTGTACCTGCTCTTATCTCTGTGATACATAAAATGTATTTGCACATTTGAATTTTGTAAAACCTTTATTCCTAAAACATTCATGTCCACTGCTGAGGAGTCAGTGTTCATTTCTGATAGGAAAAAACAAAGCTTGTAAACTGAAATTGTATGACCGAGATGCATTAAAAGGAACACTACTGACCTTGAATAGTTGCCAGTGTACTGTTGCTCATCAGAGCCGGGCTGAGAGCACCACCTAATGTCCCTGGATTGAGACTGAGTAAGGCACCTCTACAAGAAGCAAAATTGATGGAGAAACAAAGACAAAAGGAAGGAGTGTTACTTTTAAGGAAAGGCTGTCACTTTTCAGAAGTACACCATTGTGCTTTCTTAAAAGAAAAAAGGGGGGGGGAGGGGAGGGAGGAGGGACAGATATAAAGGGCTAACTTTAGTTCATTTTACTTTTTCATTCATTATGCCTTGAGTAGATGGTACCTTTCAGATGTGTGGTTAGTGTTAGTGACATGGCACTGCAAATACAAGACTTGTATTGACTGTTGCTGTAAAACATTCTCATATTTTGGGGAAACTGCCACTCATTAGAGAGCTATCATCATCTCCCAAATTCAGGTAAGAAAGATGTAAATCAAAAGGAATTAAAGAAACAGAGTCACCTCTCAGAGCAACATTTTTAAAACTAAAACTTCAACAACGCAGCATCATGCATCTTTTACAGCTTCTTGCTCACAGTAAAGAAATGAGCACAGAGGTGGGAAGTGGGCCTAGACTAGCTCTCCACTTTACAATTAGTAGAACAGAATCTATGACTCAGTGGTAAGTTGCACCTCTTAAGCTCTGCAGTGGGATGGATGACTTAGCAAATAACAACATTGCTGCAACACAGCTTTTCCACCTGTAAAATGAAAACAGTATTTGTGTACATTGATGGGAATGGCCAATGACTGTCTGTAAGTAAACCTTCAGAATCTGAGATAAATGACACTAGAATCACTGAGTGAGCCACCAGGAAATAGTGATACATAAAAGCAATTTATCCCTCTTCTGTCATCTCATCTAAAAGAGCATGAAAAATTCATCCTTACCCAGCTGCAAACTGTGAGGATGCCATCAAGCCTGGGTTTAGTCCTGCTGCAGCAGCCATGGCAGCAAGACTTGCATTTGTAGGCAACTGTGCAGCTCCTTGTAATGCAGCTGCTGCTGCTGTTTGCAACCCTGATGCCGTTACCATCACCTGGCTTGTCCCAAGATGGGAGGACAAGGGAGTCGAGGTTGTCTGTGTTGTGCTGGTCTCACTGGCACTGGATGCCTCTGAAGCGGAGGCTGAGGCAGAAGGGGAAGGACTCAGTGAAGGCGATGTCACTGCTGAAGAAGCTGGAGGTGCTGTTGAAATCACTGTTGCTGTGTTGTTGGAGATGGTTTCTGATGTCCCTAGAAGATTGATTCTGGTTAGATCAGTACAGAACACAGTATGACTGAACAGAAACTACCACCCACCTGAGCTGAACTGCACATCCAACTGAAAGGGAGACAAACATATTTCTGTAGGACCAAGAAGCACCAAGAGTCCAAATGAGAAGCTGAGACTACAGCGAAACGACACTTCCCCAGCAGTAGGGCTGAGGAGCTCTAGATGCTTACAATTGAATATAGCAAATGTCATTTCAGCATCACCTTTGGTTTTATTCCCAGAAAAGTCAACTAAATGATCACAAGTGTCCTGGGATACCAGTGACTAATACTGAATAAACTTCTGAAGAGTCTAAAAGGTAAAAATGGTAGAGGTTAATGTGGGGACGAGAGAGATCAGCCCTTACCTGTGACTGAAAGACTAGTTACAGCAGGACTGGTCAGAGGGAGCACAGGATTGACAGTCAGGGTTGTAGCTGCACTGCTAGTCACAAGGCTTGGTGTGGTTGCCACCTGGAAGTCGAAAAAGAATACAACTGCTCAACCATTAAAAGACAAAAAGAGCTCACTACTAGAATTCTTTTTTACCCATCCTCAACCAAGGAAGTTATCAAGGAAAACTATCAGGGAAAACACTGCATCCCATTACTTTATCATTCAGTGGACCAACCATAGTACCTTCTGTAATTACCAGCAGTATCTTTACTCTTAATCATTCAGTATTTGAAGGGAGATACATCCATTACGTCTAGGCTGCCTGAGGACTGCAAGTTAGCCCTCCCTCTTGTTCTGCCCTCCCTCAAAGACAGCACCTTGTTTTAACAGTCACTCTCCTAGAAATACAAAACTTATTATTTCTGCATGGGTTTTATCTTTGTTTAAACATCCTTCCAGCTCCAAACCCCTTTCTCTGATAAAATTATTTAAATGCCCCAGTGTTAACAAAGGTATTTAGGGTCACGTTTTCACATGGGTAAGCAGAATAATATCTCACTTTTACTCAACCAAACTATAAGCTCTACTTTGATAAGTTTCCTTGTGCCAGAGGAAGGATCTCTGAATTTTAAAATATCTAAATGACATTAGTTGATTTTACTTCTGGACAGATTACAAGAAATCTACAATAAACTGAAGACACTAGAGATTCAAAAAAAAAACCACAAACAAACAAATATACAAAAAAAAAAACCCACAAAAGATTTAAAGCTGGAGAAACTAGCTTATGAAGAAAAACAAAATAAAAGGCTTGAAAGTACTTCTTATGGACATGAAATGGTGTCCAACAGCAATAATTGAAGGCTGTTATACATCAATGAGAGAAATGAGTCCTTTAGAATTGCCCAAGAGAACATAGCCAAGGATTTAGGCTGAAACGTTCCTCTTTCTCCTCTCTTACTTGAAGCTTATTACCAGAGAACTCTCTCATGCTGCATATGCTTATAGACAGTTAAATGTTTCACGCATTTTAAACAAGACTGGGGCGACTGGGACAGACCTAAAAGTTTTCTGCCCATCTCAAATAGTGTATGAAAGAGCTAGACATATATAACACTTACCACTAATGCAGCCCAGGCATTGCATCTGTCATCAGAATCATAGAATAGTTAGGGTTGGAAAGGACCTTAAGATCATCTAGTTCCAACCCCCCTGCCATGGGCAGGGACACCTCACACTAAACCGTATCACCCAAGGCTCTGTCCAACGTGGCCTTGAACAACGCCAGGGATGGAGCATTCACAACTTACCAGGGCAACCCATTCCAGTGCCTCACCACCCTTACAGTAAAGAACTTACTCCTTATATCCAGTCTCAACTTCGCCTGTTTGAGTTTGAACCTGTTACTCCCTGTCCTATCACTACAGTCCCTGACAAAGGGTCCCTCCCCAGCATCCTTATAAGCCCCTTTCAGATACTGGGAGGCTGCTATGAGGTCTCTGCGCAGCCTTCTCTTCTCCAGGCTGAACAGCCCCAACTTTCTCAGCCTGTCTTCATACAGGAGGTGTTCCAGTCCCCTGATCATCCTGGCCCTCCTCTGGACTTGTTCCAACAGTTCCATGTCCTTTTTATGTTGAGGACACCAGAACTGCACACGATACTCCAAGTGAGGTCTCACGAGAGCAGAGTAGAGGGGCAGGATCACCTCCTTTGACCTGCTGGTCGTGCTCCTTTGGATGCAGCCCAGGATACGGTTGGCTTTCTGGGCTGCAAGCACACACTGAAGCCAGCTCATGTTACGTTTCTCATTGACCAACACCCCCAACTCCTTCTCCGCAGAGCTGGCTCTGAATCTCTTCTCTACCCAACCTGTAGCTGTGCCTGGGATTGCTCCGACCCAGCTGTAGGACCTTGCACTTGGCATGGTTACACTTCATTGATAAGGTTGGCATCAGCCCACCTCACAAGCGTTTCAAGGTCCCTCTGGATGGCATCCCTTCCTTCCAGCGTATCAGCTGAACCATACAGCTTGGTGTCATCGGCAAACTTGCTGACGGCGGACTCAATCCCACTGTCCATGGCACCAACAAAGATATTGAACAAGACTGGTCCCAACACCGATCCCTGAGGGACACCGCTCGTTACTGGTCTCCAGCTGGACAGTGAGCCATTGACCACAACCCTTTGTGTGCGGCCATCCAGCCAGGTCTTTATCCACCAAGTGGTTCATCTATCAAATTGATGTCTCTCAATTTAGAGACAAGGATGTTGTGTGGGACCGTGTCAAACAGTTTGCACAAGTCCAGGTAGATGATGTCAACTGCTCTACCCCTGTCTATCAGTTCTGTAGCCCCATCATAGAAGGCCACCAGATTGGTCAGGTAGGATTTCCCCGTTGTAAAGCCATGCTGGCTGTCATCAACTACCTTGTTGTTTTTCATGTGCCTTAGCAATGCGTTCAGCCCACTGAACAGTTAAGGCCAAGGTCACAATGCGTATTTCAGGGCAGCGAATGACCTGGAATTTATGCAGCTAATCCCATGGTTGCAGTGACTGACTTCAGCCAATGCAAAAGTAAGCTGATATCAAAAGGTGCGCTCCCCTCTAATCCTGCTTCAGAACCCTAGCACTGGTGCAGCCAAGCAACAAGTCAGACTGGTTATAGCCATACTGAAAATTCAACACATGGTTATTTGCAGTCAATCTAGTAAACTGAGCTCAATCATCCTACAGACACATAACCTCCAGAGCTGACACAGGAATCAACAAAGCACATAGCCAGTGAAGCCTGGGGGCAGCAGGACGAGAACATCCATTTGAGTGGTAGCAGTGTCTTAAGAGAAGCTTACAGTAAGTGAAAATGCTTAGTGAAACATCACTAAAAATAAGGAGACTGTGGTCAACACCTCAATTTCTTGTATACAATGGCAGTTTCTAATAAAAGGGAAATTTACATAGCAAAGCTTTCTTAAGTTGTAGTCTCAGTAAATGTGCATGCTTACTAAACCAGGCTATCATAAATCTCACTATGTTCTGCTTTGGCAGCAAGGCATGCAACCTTGCTTTCCCACTGGAAAAAAAAGTAAAAATAAATAAAAAGCCTAAGTACATTTAACATATCCCTTCCCCTGAAACAAAAGTTTGCACGCACACAACCTGAGACAAGGATGAGGGGAAAGAATGACACGTCACCAAAATGATTTAGTGAAGTACTGGAAGATACTAGCTACTACGGTGATGAGGATGAAATAAAATACTACAAAAGTACAGCTACAGGCTACATAAAATCCATCACATACCTGTTAGCATAGCTACTATGAAACCTAATAGCTACTGTTTCTATTTATGAAAACAGACCTCCATGGACATTGGTAGCAAAGGAGGTGAAGGAACCTTGATGCATGTATTTTGTTACTCTTATTTTCATGAAGTTTGTGTTTACCTGAGGCAAATACAAGTGTGGGAAATAAATTCAGTATGTGAAAGGAGACTATAGGGATGGACTATTCGTTAGGGACTGTAGTGATAGGACAAAGGGTAACAGGTTCAAACTTAAACAGGGGAAGTTTAGACTGGATATAAGGAAGAAATTCTTTACTGTTAGGGTGGTAAGGCACTGGAATGGGTTGCCCTGGTAAGTTGTGAATGCTCCATCCTTGGCGGTGTTCAAGGCCACGTGGGACAGAGCCTTGGGTGATATGGTTTAGTGTGAGGTGTCCCTGCCCATGGCAGGGGCATTGGAACTATATGATCTTAAGGTCCTTTCCAACCCTAACTATTCTATGATTAGCTAAATTGTTCCTTTGTTCCAAGTCTTTTTTTATACAAATCATTCCTGACTAAAAGCGACAACAGTATCATTGGATTTGCGTGACTTAAGTCTCCAAATGACATGTTTTACTGCTGCTCATCTACTTATCAGAGCAGCCAAAATACGAGGGAAAGGGTAGAGCTGTTGAGCGTTTATTACTACAATTTTACAAAAGATGTTTGGGCGAGAGAAAAAGTCCAGATACAAACTGGAGTTCCTATCTTGTATATGCTCAAAACAATAACCCCAAATGCAAATTGGCTACCCAGAATACTTACTCACAAGCTGACTAAATTAAACACCCAAACTGACGGCCCAAATACTGCCTGATTTGTCAGCATTATCTCTCTCAGTAAGCAAGTAGGATGCTTAAAATGCTGGTAAAATATGCATTTGTGAGAACAAGTCTGGTGTACACAGAAGGCATAGCACGTGCAATTCCCACAGTGACCACAGTAGAATATCTCTTCCAGTGATCTTTGCCAGCACAGTTTCTTGATTCTTACCAGTGAGGTTGGGCAAGGGAAAATTGCTTTGATGGGCGAGCTGCTGGTTCCACCACTGCTGGGTGGGTTGATCCTTTTCTCCTTCTGGCGCCGGTTACAGAACCAAACGCGGATCACCTCCTTCTCCATGTTTAGCTGGTCAGCTATCATGGTGATCTCATCCGAGGTAGGCTTTTGGTTCTGAGAAAAGGGAACGGCATTTGAAAAGCTGTGAAATTATATTCTGAAGTTTTACATTAAATAGCTACTTCTTCACTAGGCAGAAATATAGATTGGTCATTTATACCCTGAATCTGGTCACTGGTAAAGTAGAGATGGATCACAATAGATACTTCTGCCCTCCATCTTCTTAGTTACAGGAACATTTCTACCAACAGGCAGCTGTGTTCCTCAGAGATGTGTGATGAAGACTAAGCTCACATGCTTCTTTTTGAAAGAAAGGATCTGACTTGTGAACTAATCCTTCAAGGAATTCTAGACCTTGATAAGGAAATCTTTCAGCATCTCTCAAAAAGGAATACAAGGGATTGACTATAGCAATAGCCAAATGAACCCCAATTTGTCTAGACCTATAATGAAAGACAGGGAGATTGAATGGGCTACTTACAGAGGTTATCTGTCCATATAGCTACACAAAGTGCCAAACAAGAGTAACCTAAGGCCAGCTAAAAACCTCACATTATGTATGCTGGGACTGTCACACCATTTATCCATCCCCAGAAAGGGTAATCTGTTTTTCTTCTTTTTGATGTGCTGAATATCAGTCTTAGATCTATGGCTCAGAACCTTGGAATGCGAAATCATGAAGTCAGCAAACTGCAAAAACTAATGAGGCTTTTTGAGAAGTTCTGTGTTCTTCTGGTTGTTTGATTGTTTGGTTTTTTTTTAAATGAATCAGGCACTAATGTGTGTTTCTCGCCACATCCTCTGTATCCGCCCTGCTTAGTACAAGCACTTTTCTAAATAGCACAGTAATGGGTTCGCTCTAATAGATACGATTGTTAAGCAAAGTTTCTTCATTTCTATATAGGCTGAGCCGTGCAACAGGATCACTGACCTCCAGGAAACTCTTCTCTAAGGCCACACGTATGTTGGTCTCTATGCTGGTGCGTTTCTTCCTCCTACGGTTTAAGCCTTCATTCCCCAGCCCTGGAGAATTCAGGGCACTTGGGCTGGAGAGAGTTGAATCAGATGAGAGGTTTTCTGAAAAAAGAAAGTAACATAAATCACAAGATTTTATTTTATGCAGTGCAGTCTAATACGAATGTACTTCACCTGTGCAAGGTCTGTTAAAACCCATTCGGTACCTATTTCAGATATACAGAAATTTCTGAAGATCAAGTGCATTAATCCCCCTACTTAGAAATTACAACACATACTTAAAAGCTACAAGTAAGCCCAGAGGGCACGCTCTGCTCCTGTATGCTATCAGCATACCTTTTGTAATACCTATACAAAGTTTGCCTCTCTTATCTCACCCTACACTCATTCACTGAAAGCCATAGTTTAAAGAAAAAAAAGCAGAAACTGATATCCATGAGCCACAGAAGTAAGTCACAGGCAATTACAAAAAAATCTGAGCAGCCTGAAGTTTCTTCTACCCACTCTGCAATACGCTACAGGAAGAGGAAATTCATAGCCAGCTTCACAGTGTGCAACCTCTTCTCTCTGGGGATCTTAGCAAATACTCAGTGCTTTGCAATTCTACAAAACAGCCTACACAGATAGCAGCTCCCCTTAGCTACACTAGGTCTCTAGCTCTCAACCCCTGACTCCACAGAAGAGCAAAGAGAGGACACACGTGACCCTACTTTGTAGCAGTTAGTGCAACATAACCAACAGGTAGGTACAAAATTATTAATTATGACTGTAGATCTCTCAACTGCACTGGCATTTGTGGGTGATAAGCATGTGTCAAAGTTCACACTGCTAAGACCATTCTTGTAAGGTCAAATGGGCAAGTACATTCATCTCATTACTTTCTAGATTATTTTTTTTTCAGTAATGGTATCCATAAACATCCTGAAAGCTCTCTCCACACTGAAAACCCCACACAACAAAGTTCTGTAACAATAAATTCCAATGTAATGTAAGAGGAAGGATCATTGGTATGCTTCTCCAGCCTACTTTTACCTAAAAGTAGACTTTAAAGTCATCTTAATGTTTTTCCCAAAGATTTTCATGAAAATGAATCAGTGCCAAAGACAATGGTTCCCAGCTTCCAGCCTGTGAAGGACCCTGACACTATTTAAAGTCCTTAACTTGAATTTACAGATCCAAATATTTCTTCTAGCAGGAAAAGCACAACTCATCCAGTGTTGCTGGAAGGTTTTGGGACTACTGTCCTGTGGACTAGAGCACATGTGAAGTTCTTCGTGTTTTCTATCACAGCTCTAGATTACCTAAAGGTAATCCCTGCTAACAGAACAGAATGACTCTTCCTTGTTTCAATGCAGGACAAATTCTCAACACTGCATGCAATTACTTTCAAAATTTCAGAGAATACTGTAGGCACCAGCATAAAGCTCTCTTCACTTTGGTAAAAATAGAAGGGCACACACCATCTGTGCCATCTGTTTAGCAGATCTATCATTTTATACTAGACATACTTGGAAGAAAAACTGACTGACAGCGCTCTTAAAACAATTTTTATCCTAACACCTAGCATCAGCATCCAGCTCCTTTTGCTGGTGGTAGGAAAAAAAAAAAAGAACACTGCCAACAATGGCATCATTAATAATTTATATCCCCCCAAAAAATAATCCTGGAATTAAAAAGCAAAACCTAACCCACAAAAAACTCTTCTATGGGGAGAAAGAGGGTGCTTTTATGGAAGCTTGGAGAGAGCTTAAAAGAACACACATAGTGGTGTAGGAAGAGATGAATGCAATAAGCTCTGCCTACTGAAACAACAAACTATGCAACTCTCCCTCTACTACACACCTGGAAAAGAAAGCTGGAAGAGGATTAGAAGTTACATGCATTAACA